TCACTTTTTAAATGGAATTACTGAAATCAATCTACTTTTTCATGATATTCTAATTTTATGACCAGCACCTGTAGTTTGGTTAGATTTTAAGAATAGATTGGTTGTTTTTCCAACCGATCTAGTTGCTTAAATCTATTTTGGTTAGAATAAACATGTAATGATCAAAATCTGAGCGTCATCTATAAGACACAGACTCCCACCCCTGAGGTTAATGGTTCAAGTCCCACCTTTGGCTTTTGAGAGTTGCGATTATACTAAATGATTTTTGCTAATGAGACTAATTTGCATTTGTTTGCCCTTGTAAAAATATAGTTTGTGTAAAAATGCTGCCAAATTAGGTCGGTTTAGCCAAAAGATTGGTTGAACACAACTTTCAAACCGATTAAAAACCAAAAAATTTGGAAAAACCTATTTATTATAGGTTTATTATACACACCAACCATTAACAATTTCAAAGGAACTTAAAAGGGCAAACTGTAGTTCTGCTGTCCACCAGTAGGTGGTGACATGTTCACATGAAGCCTCATGAACTGTGGGGATGGTTGAAGCGTTCAGTGCATCATGAGGCCTCATCTCACCATCACCTGTTAGAGAAACTTGGAGATCTTGCAGAAGAAGGAACTTAGATGAGATGAACAGCAGCAGAATGTAGCTCAGCAGTCCAAACGATATTTCTCACTAACAGCAGCAGTGGCTCCCTCTAGTGGCCCTTACATATTTTGTATGGCTTTCATTAATCTAACAAGGTTTTATGTTGGTAGATTTCCTAATAGGAACATGTTTAGAAATGACCCTTTTTTTCCCCGATTTATGAAGTGATTCTGTATTTTTTTATATTTCTATAAATATTATGTCTTACTAGCAAGAAGAAAAGGCATATTTTTCTCAAAGGTTTTATTGCATATTTCAGAAATAGAGAAAACTTGTAAGAACAATGATAGGAACTTTAACATTAAAAACAGAATTAAATCTGCATCAGAGCTGTCAGCCAGACCAGCCTCCTCCTCCTCATCAGTCGGCCTTCAGGGCGAAGAGCACGTCATCCTGGCTGACGTTGAGCCGAATCCTCTGCAGGACCCCCAGACGACTGGGCTCCAGCAGCAGCAGCCTGCAGGCCCCCAGGCGCCGACACACGGCCAGACCCTCGGACACGCTGACGGGCTGCAGACCCTCCACCCGACACAGAGCCTGGTGCTGCACCAACACCTGCCAGACAAGACGAAGGGCCAAGGCTGAATGAAACATGCAGGGAACCAGAACCTTCAGTAAACACAAACATTCGCTGAGTTAGAATCGACCCACTGAGCCGCTTCTAGAACAGGGAACAAACTGTTCAGGTTTATCCTCTAAACTCGACTCTTGTGGGTTTTGTGAAGATCGGCTGAACTTTTTTCTGCAGCTCAGAAACACAGATCAGATTTTAGGCCTGATGGTTCGGAATGACGTCTGGGCCGAGCTTTGAAAAAGGAACCGCCTTCAGGTTCTGCCACAGATCAGGCCCAGAAGTATTCATACCCCGACCCATTTCCTTTCTCACCTGCTGGAAGGTGGCCTCCTCCAATCCCAGCCTCCGGAACTCTGCAATGACAGCCCTCAGGAAGAGCTGCTCCTGCGTCGACGCGCACCTGGAAACACACAGCAGTCAGTGACCTGCTGTCACACACGGCTCGGCCAACACGGAAGGAGAGAAGCTCACTTGATGGCGGTGATGTATGCCGAGGAGAACATCTCGTTCAGCGCCTCCATCACGTGGACCATCCCCACCAAACCTGCAGCAGACGGGTCGGCGGCCGAGTGTTCGCAGATCTCCGTCGCCCGCCGACAGATGTCCAGACACCTGCGAGCGTCGCCAGACAGAGCCGCCACCTAACAGAGGGGGAGGATCAGCGGAGACCTTAGCGAGGAGGAGGCCATGTTGCTTTACTACCTACTGGACCTGGAACCAGTGGATTCCTTATGCATAGACGACCAACTTTACCTCCTTTAGCCAGCAAGGGGCAGCGTGGAGCCCAATCTGGGTCTGGCTCAGAGAACCAGGTGGAACTGGACTAGTGATGAACTGTGACATCAGATCCAGCTAGAAGCTCAGAGGCGATTCCTGCTGCTTATATCATGACCGTTTAAACTTAAACTGTACTGCAGGTTTTTCTTTTTTTCAATTTTTACGGCTCCAGTGGTTCGTTTTTTTGACAATAGGCTGGGAATAGACGTGGCAAACGAGCATGGGTCACGTCGAGGACTAAGGGCTCCATACATGGGTCGTGCGTGCTAACCACTGCAGCACGCCCAATATGCAGGATTTATGAAAACAAAGTTTTCTGAACCTCAAATCAGGGAAAGTTTTCAGTTTCAGTTTCCTCATCCTGTTTCTTTTGCCATAGTAACATCCTCCAAGAGCTAACCTGGTCAGCAGCAGGTTTTCTTCAATAAACTCAGTGTCCTCTGTCTCCGCTCTTCTTACAGTCAATCACACGTCTCATATATATATATATATATATATATATATA